CCTAGGGCAAAAATCGAGTAAAACGGTTATAACTCAGCCCCACAGGTGCATGGGCCCAAATCCTCTTAGGGTTATTCTAGTGTCGGGGTCTCCTACTTATCCCCAAAGTATGAGCTCAAAAACGGTGAATCACTTGGGGTAGTTTCCTCGTAAGTATTAAATTTGAAAATCTTTTACATACTTGACCACGTTCATTAACCATAATATTATCTGGATGACGATCGGCAACACCAAGAACATATGTTATAACACAATAACCAGCACATGATCTTGTAAATAAATCAATTGCACTTTTTAATCTTACAAAAAGAAAAGAAAACAAAGAAAATCTATGTTTTTTTTTTCTTTCATTCAAATAAATGAATTTACTTTTCAGCACCGGGATTATTTTTTGAAATCCATCGATAAAGTGCACTAGCATCAAATTGAAATTGTCCCTTTAAACCACCTAATTTTTGTATATTCATTATTGTTTTAGCATTTTTTACAACTTCAATTAAACCCGAACAATTATCAGTAGCTAAACATCCATAAGGTAAAAGACTAAAAAATTTAATAATCAATTTTGTTTCTTTTTTTTAAGCATTTACATCAATAAAGATATATTCAAACCTTAAATCAAGTCCATCAGCTTTCCAAATAATATCAATCATTTGAATAAATTGTAATGCTAACATATCTTGTCGAAGATCTATAAATTAAAATGTGATTTATTAAAAAAAAAAAAACATCATTTTAAATTTTCAAAAATTTTACCATCTCCATTTTTAAAAATGAGATCAAATGTTGGAAAATAGTGTTCAGCATATTCAGAGCCATTTGTCCAACGTAACCATAATGGTCGTCGAGCCGATGACATTATTCGACAATGATCTAGACTATAAGACAACACATCATTCTTTTACTTTAATTACCTTTAATCAAAACAAGTGATTAACACAATTTCTGTAGGATTTATCTGTGAAACATCATTTATCTACTGTTTTACTTCTATACTTCAACACTCCTTTTAGAATGTGCTTTTCACGACAAAAAAAAAAAAACGTATCTTACACAAGTTGACCAAGTTCAATATTATAATCAACAGGTGATCGAAAGTATTGAAGATTTTGAATATATCCTTCTCTTGTAAGTATATGAGCAAGATAACCTTTCTAAATAAATAAAATATTTCTGTAATTTTTTGTTTATTATTAATAACTGACTTGATTATATAATTCATCATGTGTACTATTTTGTATTATTTCAGCAATATATATTAATTTATCTACCGATCGTACTTGTCGTCCAAGATCTTCAGCATATTCACCACAATAACGTAAATATGCTTCTAGTAAAAGACCATATCGTACTTTATATTGTGGATTTTTTAATTCGGCTCTAAATTTTGTTTATTTGAAATTTAATTAAATTAAACTATATGAATAATAAGTTACCTTGAATGCCAATAGAAATAATGTCCAACTTGTTGATTTAATAATGAACGTTTAAGTAAAAATCTTGCTAATGCACTATCATGATATGGTTCATTTTTAACGGCCTAAAAAGAAACAAAAAGTTTTGATTCAAGTTTGAATTAATCTTTTAAAAGTGTATTAGAGTTTACATCGATTTCATTCACAGTGTTTCAAACTATCAGAAGATATTTCTAGTATAAGCTCTTCCGAAATTTGGGTTCCTATCTCTTCTTTTAAAACTTATTGATATTTTTATTGTACATAACATACAATATTAAAAAATTCATCAGTCAATAAATATGCAAACTAAAAGTGAAATAATTGTTCTCTAATAATATATAGTGAAGAAAATGAAAATATCTATTATAGGAAAAATCCAAGAATATGTGTCATTGACAGACTTAAAAAAATACTCAACATATGTGTCATGTATGGTAAAATATGACTTATGACAGAACGCATAAAAAATTGCCGTGCAACAACAAAGGAAAAAACCCAAGTGTGTTGTACGGTATTTATTTAGAAAACGAAGTTCTGTAACTTGACAAAGAAAAGACCTGATAGATTAAGATTGCTGCGAATATAATCGATGTCATTGAAATTGGATTGAGGAGGCATCTCAGAAGGTTCACTCCACCTTCAAAACCTTTTAAAATGATGTCGTGGTAACTTTCCAGTTTCCATTCGTAGTAATGATCTTCGAGCTCTCTTTAACTCTAAATAGACAATAAAGATACTCTGTCTAGTGTGAAGTTATTGACTTTCTCCTAAGCAGAAAACATGTTGATCAAGATCTTTAATTTTAATATTTGTACTAACATTACTGTATAACGAATAGAACAATCTTTGTCAAGCAATAGAGCTTGTTGAGTTAAAACTTTTCTGAACTTGTATTTACTCTCAATGAAACTTTTCTGATAGGAATTGAATAGTCACTCTGAAATCAATCCGATGGACTCTATTCGAGAAACTTTCGATTTCTATTTACTTGTACAATTTGTAATATAACAGGCAGAAGTCGATCATCATCAATACGTGTATCTAGTAGACGAACAGCTGAAAATCGAACAAATGGATCAGGATAATCAACATCTAATAATTCAAGTGCTGTCATTAATGGATCTATATTCTTTGTTGGCCAATTTTCAACAATTTTATAAGCCTATTGAAAATAATTCAACAATAAAATATTTTATTTTATCAATTATCATACTTCAAGAACATCATCACGATTAGACCATTTAACACATTTAAGCCAACGCGGTAATGATTCTGGTACACGCATACATTCGTAACTATGAACAAAAAAACAACATTCATATTTATATATTTGCAAAAAAAATTAGAAAAAAAAAATCTACCGTCTATCCCAAAGTTCAACTCGACTTTGTTCAGTCAATTCAAATTCAATTGAACGAAGCCAATTATAAAAATCCAATTGAATAACATTTTCTCCAGTTTCTTCTAACTAAATAAAAAACACAAAACACAACGATGTCATTTTTATATTATTTAATTAATCGTACATCATCTTGAAATGCACATGAACGTAAAAGTTGTTCACTTTTTGTTTGTGCTTGCATAGCTAAACCATTACGTGGTGATAGTGTTGCTATTTGATATTTATAACTAGGAAATTCGAGCTCGATTGTTGGATAAGATCGATCTGGATTAATACCTAATAGAAAAAAAAAACGAACAATATACATAAATTGAAAGCAAAACAATCCTAAAATGACATATTCATATAATCGAAATTTACAAGTAGTGTCCTGAAAGTAAGTCGGATACCCGACAATATATGAGATCTCGATATTTCAAAATGCTTTTACTTTTTCAAACTTCTATTTATGTATCAAAGTATAGAAAAGAAAAACCAGTTCGATCATAATCGACCAATTTACAGAAGTGCAGAGCAATATTGTTTTACTAGCAAGGGAACCTTCCCAGGTGCCAGAGCGATTTTCAGTCAGGGTTTTGCGCATCTTGTAGCCCATAGTGAGCTATGTCTATGGTTAAAAAAGTTCGTCCCCCTGGTTTGTTTCTGAAGAGAT